ACTTGACCAATTCTTTCAATATAAACCGGTCTTCCCTCCTTGTCAACTCCGTGATGTCCTTGTGGATAATACTTAAGGACTTCTTCCTTTTCCTTAAACTCGAAGTCCTAACAGAAATTTACAACAACACATTCCCTCAAATTTCTTGGATTATGATTTCTACACTAACATTTTTAAAAAGCTTACCTCCACGATAGTGTCTGCACCAAATTCGCTCCTCCACTTGATCATATCAGCCCACATCTGCTTGGATTTATCAATATCGAATTTTCTAGCCTTCAAGAATCTGTTTCATCATTAAGACTAAATGTTAGACAAGATCCAAATCTTTTGATAAGATATACTTGTCATCAAAAACACATAATGAGTATAATCACCTTAACAATTTATGATAATCATCATGTTTTCCGGGAAGTAATTCGTCTAAGATAAGCGCTTGTCGGAATGCATCAACTGCCTTTATTTCCTCTGCATCATGCTCATCCTCAACAATAACAGACATAACTCTGCTGTTCCGTCTGCCCTTTTTTGTAAAAGAATGTCTAAATTTGGTAGAGGCATTAACTGCCTTCTTCTTGAGAGACCCAAGCCTTGTTTTCCTCTCATGCTCATGGTTTTCCATGTCAATCTTTTCTAGACCTATAAAACGAGAACAATTCAATCGTTGTATGGATGCAAACTTTAAAGATACGACACATGGCTATGATATCATGTAAAGATATAACACATGGGTCTAACTCAATCCGAAAAACTAGCTCATGAGGGGAGGATTGTCCAAGTTCATGTAAGCAAACCATCAGTCCATTTCCCCACCAATGTGGGACTTTATTCCACTTTAACACCCCTTCACACCCAGGCCTAACTAAAGCATGAAACCGCGAGTCCAAACGAGGATGAACCTGACCCTGACATCATGTAAAGATATGACACATGGACCTAACTCAATTCTAAACGCTAGTTCATGAGGAGAAGATTGACAGAATCCATGTAAGGAAACCGTCAATACATTCGCCAACCAATGTGAAACTTTAACCCACTCTAACACAAACTAATTAGTCTAATAACCTAACTTGCCTTGGAAATAATGCAAATTGAAATATCTTGTCAACAACAACAAAAGAGGAAATATTGTAAATGAAGATTGAAGACATACTTGGTCTGAATGGTTGGTCAAGAGGTCCTGACATATTGCCACTCATGATTGTAGCTGTGATAATATATATAGATACCGCAAAAATATATACAATTTGGTATACTACTCTCTTGTATGCCTACATTTTAAAAACAAAATTGAAATCAGATCAGTAGAACCATGTTAAAAGACATAACAGTATGTATGTAAACATTTGAGGGCATAAGCCACCAACAACAGTGAAATTTTAGGTGATAGAAATCCCAAATTTTGCCAAGTTCAAATAAAACGAATGAATATTCATACCCCTAAAAAGAAACACATAAGATAGGAGGGTATTTATTTAAAGATAAATGAAAATATAACATAAAGGGGTCGTTTGGTTTAAAGAAATGGTGGGTTAGTTATGTTAGTTATCTTGGGATACCTTTCTTATTTGATTGTTTGATTTAATGTATTAAAACCACATGCACAGCATAATTTTTAAGAAGTTCATTGTTTATAAAAATATCATTCACCTTATTTAGCAGAAGAAGGATGCGATGGAGCGGAGGGATCCTACATTATTATTTTTTGTCATTTTTATTGTTTTTTTCCGAGATAACTGATCTCCATATTATTATTGTACAAATCATAAATCTTGATTTAAAACTTATCACACGATTAATAATGAAACTAAAATTTTATCCCAGAACTATCTATTAACCAACCACCAAAATCACTTGTTACAAATAAGATCATGTTGCTGCATGGAAAGAGATAAATGTTGACTAATTTGGCTAATGTTGATGTCCAGCATACCAAACGATCCCTAAATTCTTGGGCACGAAAATATTGATAATTAAAATAAAACAAAAGAAGGGTAATTACATGAATGAAAATGGATTTTTAGAGAAATGGAAAAGGAGAAGACTAATGAGAGATATATTACCAGTGGCAAAAAAATAGATAGGACATTGAGAAAGAAAGAAAGGGGTCTCTTAAATCATCAAATATTTCCTAAAGAATTGGGATACCAATAATTCAATGAATGGGGAAGCGATTATTATTCTCTAATATAGATTTAGAATACATAAAATTCAACTATAACCCTACATTCATATTTCTGTTTAAAGATAGAGATTAATTGTTGTGAAAGGCACTCCCTCCATATATTCTAATTAATGACAATATTTATTTATTTTTGAAACAATTCTTTAATTCTAATTTTTGACGTGACTTGTTTAAAATTACAAGATTCGAAAACCTATCTTCTTTACTTTTTAAACTCAATGTTAAAACAAAGAAAGTATTAGTTCTCTAATTACATCATTGTTAAATTTTGAAATAAGTACAAAAGTATATAGCAACAACAAACAACAACCACCCAGTACTGGAATCCCATTAAGTAGGGTTTGGGAAGGGTAGAATGTATGCAGACCTGATCACTACCTCGTGGACGTAGAGAGGTTGTTTCAGAAAGACTATCGACTCAAGTGCATCAAATTCAAGTAAAAGAAGAAGAAAACAACGAAAAAAGTGTATCAGTTAATAAGAAAAGCATTGTAAAGTATACTTGAACGAAACAATAACACCATATGACAAAAACTACAATGGTATGACTAGTACTACAATAGACACTAACAAGACTAACCTTTCGCAAAGCAAGGAAACACTCTACCCCTACTAACTTTCTATATAATATGCGATCTTCACTTCTTCCTATCTAGAGTTATTTCCTCGGTGATATGAAGTTTCTTCATGTCTTGTCTAATAACCTCTCCTTGATACTTTTTGGCCTACCTCTACCCCTATGTGTACCCCCTACAATCAACCATTGACACCTCTTTACTGGGGCATCAACGGCCCTTCTCTTCACATGTCCAAATAATCTCTGTATTGCTTCCTTCATCTTGTCCGCCACAGAATTTCACTCCCACTTTCTCCTGAATAACCTCATTCCTAATCTTGTCGCTCCTAGTATGCTCATACATCCATCTCAACATCCTCATCTCCAGAACATAAATCTTCTGAACATGGGAGTTCTTGACTGGCCAACACTCTACTATATATAACAAGGACGGTTTAACCACCACTCTGTAGAACTTACGTTTAAGCTTGGGCGGTACCTTCTTATCACATAAGACTCCAAAGGCAAGCCTTCAATTCATCTAGGCCGCCCCAATGTGATTTGTGGAATCATCATTGATATCCTCACTATCTTGAATTACAGAACCAAGATACGTAAAACTTTCTCTCTTGGCGATAGTTGTGTGGCATGTCTTACTTCCACTCCCGCTTCATCCAACGCAACGCTAAATTTGCACTCAAAATATTTTTTTGTCCTGCTCAACCTAAACCCTTTGGACTCTAAAGTTTGTCTTCAAACTTCCAACCTAGCATTAACTTTGTCTCGTTTCTCCTCAATCAGTTTTATGTCATCCACAAATAATTTACACCATGGAACCTCCTCCTGAATAGACCGCGTCAACTCATCCATCCTCAAGGCAAATAGAAAAGGTATAAGAACCAATCCCTGATGTAGCCTCATCTCAACTGGAAAGTGCTCAAAGTATCCTCTCACTGTCCTATTCGGAATCTTGACTCCATCATACATGTCTTTTGTCGCCCAAATATAAACCATCGGGACAGCTTTAGCCTCCAAACACCTCTAGAGGACAATCCTCAAGACTTTTTCATATGTCTTTTTAAGATTAATGAACATCATATGTAGGTCCGTCTTTCTTTCCTACATTTCTCCGTTAGTCTCCAGATAAAATGGATGACTTCAGTAGTCGATTTTCCATGCATGAATCCAAATGAATTCTCATAAATGGACACATCTTTCCTCATCATCATATCCACCACTCTCTCCCAAATCTTTATAGTATGTATGGCTTAGCAATTTGATATTCTTGTAATCATTACCGTTTTTATATCACCCTTGTTCTTGTACAATGGGGCAGCTCTATTCATCAAATATTTTTGCCTTCTTAAAATAGCATTAAACAACTCAGTCAACTACTCTATACCTTGTCTGTGCTCTTCCAAAATTCCACCAGAATCTCATCGGGTCCAGTCACTCTCCCTATGCTCATCCTACTAATAACATGTCTAACCTCCTCAATCCTAAAACACCTACAGTACCCAAAGTTCTGAAGTCTTTCAGAGTGCCAAAATTCTCCCAACACAATTTTTATGTCCTCTTCAGTTCTTCGTTTAAGAGTTTGTGGAAATACGCTTGTCAGCTTTAATTTACTTAATGGCAGTCTTTTCCACCATGCACTTTACTTTTGTTTATCCTTGATGCACTTCATTTGATTCAAATCGCGAGTCTTTCTCTACCTCGGTTCCACGAGCCTATCTAAGTATTTAAGGGGTAAGTCAAATAAAGAGTTGGTCATGATATGATAATTTTTTTGTAGAATCCACATGGTCTTGATATATAGCATCAAAGGCTGCTACATAGGACATTTATTGCCAACTATGTGTGAAATGAAAGTTGGAGGTGGAACCACGTATAGTAAGAAAGAATAATCTACAGATGCATATTACCTTTTTATCTATAATCCAAAAAGGATGGATATACACACAATGTAACATTTAGTACAAGATACTCACATCTTGATATTAGTAAATAAGTTTTTTAATGATACTACACTATAAATAATAAGTATGAAAAAATATATATAGACATGTTATTAAAAATTGGCTTAATATCACAAATGGCTTCCCTTTGACGAGTTCATAGGTTGAATAAAAGAAGCCTCCATTTACGTGCAACCACACACATTCCTAAACCAAACCACAAGTAAATAAGCATTTTCCCTTGTTCTTTGCTGCTTCTTAGTCCCTAAGCATCTTGTTACTAACACGCTTTGATGAGAACTTGAGTTAAATAATTTCCTTTTACCTTACTAATAAATCATAAACGATTAACAACGTAACAACAATAACAAAAGTTGTGTTTTTTTGAATATCCAAACAACGACAATGATGATTCAACCATTATTTGCGCTTGTATTTCTTGAAGTGGTCGTGATATTGACCCTCATATTCCGAACCCCTTTAAGGAAACCGGTTTTGATGGCATTGGATAAATCGAAGCAAGGAAGGGGACCTGTCATAGTAAAGAGTGCTGGAGGAACGTTATTCGTTGTTTTAGTCTCCATCTTGTTCAACGTCACTCTAATGCAGAACCGCGCAACTGATTCTGGCACTGTTAATCCAACTGATCAAGTTTTGTTGGCTAATCATCTCTTAGAAGCCTCGCTCTTGGGTGAATATAATCTTGACTAATTTAGATCGTGATGATTCATATAACAGACTATTTTTGGTATATGATGTAAAATAATGTCTTTTTTTTTTCTGGTGTTACAAATGCAGGGTTCACATTGTTTCTTGCTTTGGTCATAGATAGACTTCATTACTACATAAAAGAGCTTCGTCTGCTAAGGAAGACTTTGGAGGGAGAAAAGAAAACGAACCAGAGTCGCGATCAGGTGGAAAATGCAGCATCAAAAAGTCCGAGCATAAGTACATAAGCATATTATGGAGGCTATATATTTATGTTTTACCAAACTCTATACTTATTTAATTTCTCTGTTTGTTTGGTCTTTTAGGTTGCCTTTCCTAGTGTAAGGTGAAGTTGTATGTTTTTCTTCAATTATTTCCTAAATGTCTGATTGTAGTTTGTATGATTTATTTGTTTCAAGATTATACCGTTATGTAACTTCTACTTTTCTTGTAGAATTGCCAAGAAATAGAAATGGAAACAAACCATATATTTAAGGGGAAAAAAAACAAATGAAGATGCGATTGTTTTCACCTTTTGAAATTAAGAGACGTAGATGTTGGGATATAGACTATTAGCCATGTGGTTGTTATCTATAATTCATGTAAACAGTATGTTTCTGAAATGTTTCCGCATATTGCTATTTTCCAACTATAGAAAATTGAAAGTAAAATGAGAGCAATTTGATTAAGGTGTAAGAACTTATAACAGAGTAAAGGGCCAACAAAAGCTACGCAAATATGATGATATGCAAACACTGCATCTGATTCCTTCACTCAATCGAAGGTGCAATCGATGACGATGGCTGAAGTGATTTAAGACAGGCTCAGGAGGAAGAAGATGATCCGATACATTAGCGAAAGCAACTCCTATTAATCTGCAATCTGTAATCAGTGGCGTACACAAAAAAAATTATAAGTGGGTTCGCCCCTGTCTGCAATGGTCGCATTCCTATCCAGACATATGGGCCTAGTTTCCTTGTCAACCAAATCATTCATTTTCTGCAGAGGCGTATCTAAGGGGTCACCGGGTTCACGTGAACCCATGGTCCCTCCCGAGATCATATATAGTAGTGTTATATTTTTAAAAAAGTATTGAAATATAGATGTGTAAATTCACACTTGAAGTATCACATAATGCTACTATGGATGGGTGCACCTCTCTCCGCAAGGTTAGAAATTTGAATTTTATATTTATCTTATTTTATTTTTCTTTCTAAAATTAAATAACACGTCTCTATGTGGTAATTGGTATATATATATATATATATATATATATATATATATACCAATAATTTTATGACCTATAAGAATTAATTTTAGACCTATAATTTTAAAATTTTAACGGTTTTCAGTAGTAAAAACCTAAATGTCGAACCGATCAAATTTATATCATAGATCAATCTTTTTATAAGGTGCACCCATCATCTCAAAATCCTGGATACGCTTTTGATTTTCTGCTATATTTTTTTCTTGTAAATTTTCGTAAGTATACATTTGTGTATATATATACACTCACACATACAGTACTCTTTCATTTTGTTTTGGGAAGATCAATAGTCCTGATCCATGAATTTGTTGACAAGTTCCTTGTGATATCATGACTAAATGCATTCAACCTTGTACATATATATACAAATGTGCTTTGATCGATCCATCTACTCCCTTTATTCCTAATTATTTGTCTACTTTTGAATTGACATACTTATTAATTTACCATTTTAACTCTATTAATTATGAGGTGGATGAATTAAAATTCTAAGATTTTCAAAAAGTTTTATCTTTTTCAAAATAATTAATTGAGGGTATAATAGGTAAAAACAATTGTCCTTACTTGATTTATCAAAATGGACAAGTAAAAAAAGAAAATTTGACAAGTAATTAGGGAGAGAGGGAGTATTAATTTTCGTTTGACTAATACTTCCTCAGACTATCTTTATGTGTTCATATTTGACTTGGCACACTCCTTAATTAAGAAATGATAAATAGGGGACATTAACCCCTATTAATTATTTTTTGTTAGACTTGATAAACTACCTTTTTGTTGAATGTTTATAATTTTATGACATTATATTTATAATATTAATCCTTTTGTCAAACATGCACTTCATGATGTTCATAGAAATTTGTACTTTTAGATTTTATGATTATTCTATGATTAGTTTAATTAAAATATACTAATTTGAAAACTATAAATCAATTATTCTTTATACTATTGGTTAATAAGAATATATTTTTAAAAGACAATATATATCTTAAATATTCAATTTAATATCATTTATAGGCCCTTATTTGTCTAATATAAATTCTTAATTTTAGATAATTAATTTTATTTTTTAAAATTCAATATAACCTCATGATTACACTTGTGCAATGAAGTACATTACTTATATTGTGATAAACAAACAGGTTAGCGTAGTTACTAGTTGGTGTAATCACTAGACTGATAATTACTACTCTAAATAATTACACCAATTCCAATTACCTGATAGACACAAAATGATAAATTATTTATTGATTTTATAAACTGGAAAAATATTATTGAAATTATCATATAAACAAGAGGTGAAGACTTTTATACAAAAAAAAAATTACTTCTTTAGAAATCATGATATTATCCTCTTTTTTCTTAATTCATGTGACAATTTTTTCATAAAAGCATAAACATTATCCTTTGAACGAAAAAACTAAGACATACTAATAAAGTATATGAGCTAATGTTATCTATAATGAAGTAAATTAGCATAATAAGAAAATTAATTTTAATAATAATAATCAAAACTTCAATTTTTATTTATACAAGTAAAAATAGCAGAGAGTAATAACAATCCAAATATATTTTGATGTAGGTAATATAAAATAATTAATTTAATTAAGGTCAAATTTTTTAAAATGGTATTATTTATATTTTAAATTATTTTAAACTATAATTTATGTAATACTTTATCAATGCCAATCAAAACTTGTTTATTTATATAGTCAATAGAGAACACTTCCGCCGTTTATATTACTTAATCCTCACTCTAAAAGTAGTTATTTTAATTTACTTGTATGAAATCAAAAGAATTTTTTATATTTTTTAAATTTCTATTCTTAGTATTAAATTACTGCATAAAATAGTAGTAGTCAAATTTAAAGTTTCAAAGGATTATAAATAATGTTAGTTCCAATTAATTTTATTAAGTGGTATCATATCAAGAAGGGCCAAGTAATATGAAACGCGTGGAGTAAGAGAGTGGAGAAAGACAAAAATATACGCATGCATTTCACACGCTTAATGCATAATATATTGAAATAACAGTCATAAAAATAATATTAAATCTTACGAAAAATTTATAAAAAAATATAATTCTACTTATAATGTTAATGAACTTAAATAAAAAGTTATAAATATCTAAGTTAAAAAATAAATTATATATAATATAAAGAATATATATATTCTTTATATATGTGATATTACAAAGATAAAATGGACAATACATAGAATAAAGGGGGGAGTTCGATTATTATTCAAAGTTGAGAGGAGAGTTTGATTTTTAAAACAAAGTTGGCGGGTGAAATAATTTTCGCCTCCCAAAAATATAAAGAAGGAAGCAACCCAAATTGGTATTTTTAAGCTTTTAGCCAACACTCCCTTTCTCCTTTTAGATTACGAGGAGTTTTATCTGAATAGTAAGGATTTTTCTTAAAAAGAAACTGCAATTGTTTGATTAAAATAATAAAATAAAAACCTCTTCTGATTTCAGAAATTATCTTATGATTCTTCGATTATAATTTGTACTATGTTGCTCGGACTCTTCAAAAGTGTCAATGGGTGCGTGTCGGATTCGCCAAAAATAGTGTATTTTTGGAGAATTCGAGACGGGTGCGGCATCAAAAGTGAAGAGTCCGCGCAACTAAGAATCTATATATGAAATCAACCATTTCTTATATAAAAAAAAATCAATTTTTCTCCTTCTCAGTGTCTAATTAGCTGAAAGAATAATACTAATAATTCAATAAGATCCAAATCAACTCATACCTCAGCTTCCTTATTCATGTACCATCTCCGTCCACTTTTAATTGTCATGATTTCCTTTATTAGAGTCAAACGATAAGTACTTTGACTAATATTATACAATGTATTTTTACATCATATTGATATGCAAAAAGTTGCAACTTATAGTACTTTTCGTATAGAATATCTAAATTTTTTTGTTTAAACTATTAAATTAATGTAATCTAATTTCACTTTGAAAATTAGTCAAATTGACTTTTGAAAAGCTCAACATGACAATTAAAAGTGGACGGAGGGAGTAGTAACTTCTTGTATCTCAATTTCTACGAAGGAGTTTCGATGCTACGGTCAAAATACTTAGCTTCGCATTTCGATTATAAGTTTGAGTATTGATGTTTTAAAATAAAATCATATACTGGAAAACTAGACAAAAATTAATACAAGTCTAAACAACTAATTAATGACTCAAAATATTCATCACTTAGCATATTTGAGTTTTTATTATTTTTAAAAATAAAATTTACATATTTGTGAATTACTACAAATCAACACATATAGTTCATCAATGGATCACATGACGACAAATAAGGCAAATCACGCAATCATCATTCGTACGTTCTTCATGGATGACTGATGACTAATAGGTACCATCCCATTGAACCGTCGCGATTCTTCTCGTAACAAATTCTCTCTACCATGAGAAACTTTGTCAATGTCTAATGTTACATCAACGACAATCTCAAACTCTCTAAGATCTTTCTTAGATGTATTTGCAACAATTATGCGTGTTTTGCGTATTATATCTTGGATGACTCTGTCACGACTATTATTATCAAAGTATTCCTCGTCTATGTTATCGAGATTTCTTTGCATGACATTATAGAACATGTCATGTGACATATATTCAGAAGGGTTGAGTTTGAGACAAAGTGATTTGGTATTATTTCGATTATAAAACCAATTTTGTTCATGAGTATGAATGTTGAATTGAATGGTTAAAGGAGATAAAGAAGTAAAGGGAGAAGTGATGATATATTTTGTTTCAATTTTTGTGTGAACATTAGAGGAGGTAATATTGGGGTATTCTAAAGCATTTTCCATGTTGAAAGTGGGAATTAAACAAAAATAGTGGTTTCAATATACTATATATATAGTGATTTTTTCCTATTACCCTATTAATTTGTATTGAAATGGGAGTTGTTTTTGTCAACGGAAATAGAGATAATTTCATATTATTAATTAGGTAACTTACTTTTAAGGTAACTTACTTGTAATGATAAGTAATTATCATTTATATATATTATATTATAATATATATAAGTGGAAAATCCTAACCTTAAAGTTAATTAATTAAATAATAATTTATTGTTTTGAAAATATTTCATCTTCCATCAATATCCATGTGAA